TAGTCTCTGAACATGATCCTTAAATTGTTTTGATATTGTTCCGAGCGATCCAATGACTATCGGAACTACCATGGTCTTCATCCTCCACAATCTTTGTATTTCTATTCTTAGTTCTTGGTACTTTTCAATCTTTTCCATTTCCTTTTGATCAATTCTATGGTCCATAGGCACTGAGATGTCAATCAGTTTCGCCTTCTTCTTGCTCCTATCTACGACTATGATGTCCGGTCTTCTTGCTTCAATCTTCTTATCCGTGTTAACATTAAAATCCCATAGGATCTTGACCTTTTCGTTTTCCACTACTTTCTCTGGTTCGTGATCCAACCAATTATCTGCAGTGCACTGTATTTGGTGTTTCCTACATAGGTGCCAATGTATTGTTCTTGCCACTTTGTCATGTCTGTCTTTATCTCTCTCCCTGCTAGTACTTTGCATCCAGCTACAAGGTGGTCCACAGTTTCCGTCTTTTCATTGCATAACCGGCGCAGCGATGAATCACTACTGTTGTACTTGCTTCTCAAGTAGTTGGTAGGTAGTGCTTGGTCCTGTGCAGCAGTGAGTAGTCCTTCCGTTTCCATCTTAATGTCTCCTTTCTTTAGCCAGAGCCAAGTGCTCTCCTTATCCATCTTGTCCTCGCACGTCTTGATGTAGTTTCCGTGTAAAGGCTTGCCTGTGTATCTCATTGCATCGCGTACATTGCATCGCGTACAATTCCGGGTCACTTCCGGTGATTTTGCTCACTTCCATACTATATCACGAAACGCCTGTCACATTTCATGCTAATTAACCTCGAAGAATTACAAAGAATAAGGAAGAATTCATACTTTCCACTCTCGATCGCAATAACGGGGAAGCGTCAAGAAAAAATGTAGCACCGGAAAATAAGAGTAATACAACGATAGTTTAGTGTGCTTTAAACTTACCTCTTAGCTCTTGGTCGATCCAGCGATTTTCTTTGAGTGAATACTTAGTCAAAATGGTGTCCTTTTGTATGGAAAGTACGACAATGCCTTTAAGAAACGCCATAGTGTGTCTTCGTAAATGTCCTTCTGAAAAAAGTGGCACCAGAAATTTGATGTACACTCACTGCCTTAAATGAATCCTGCATTTGTTTCTTTCGGCTTTAAATGTGATATGCTATCTTTGAAGTATTTGTTCAGTCACTGTTGAGGCTGGTTTTGAGAAGAGAAGCCCAGAATCGCTCAAGAATTGCGTCAAATTTACAATCGTTCTTCATTCTTCATCCGCCTTATCGAGTAGCCAGATTCCTCGTTGGCTTGGAAACAACGCTTTTAGTCACCAGTTTCTATTGAAGACGCACTTTTTTAAACCAAGCGAACCCCTTTTTTAGGTTTGGAGTCAAGGAGGCAAACCGCGCGAGGCATGGGACCAAAATTGTTCGCGGGAAATCTTGAAAGTTGTTGCTGGCGCGGATAGTCATGGCATATTTAATGGAGGACGAAAAATGATGAAAACGTTTATGCAAGCTCAAAGACTAAGGCGATTCTGGACTTGTAAAAATATAACGCAACTATAAGGCGGTCATGACCTAGGTTTGAGTGCAATTGTGCGCGATGGAACACCTCCCCCTTAAGGGCATGCACATCCTCGTTAGCTTGCTCATGTGCTAAGCTTAGCTACTGCTCTGTCCAACATCATGTCATCCAAGTTTTCTTTTAGCAAATCACGTTGCATTGTTTTATAGCGAATGCCTGATACCAATCGCTCCCGCAGGCGCTCATTTTGCATGGCATCACTGAACTCACACTCACTTGCTAGGTGTTTTAAAACGGGAACGTAATCGTTTTCCTTTCTAGATCGGTTATCGAAGTCAAATCTTGCCACCAAGGCAGATTTTTGCGCTTTGACATGGCTTTTAAGGCGTCCAACACTAACATCATACGTCGTACCTTCGTCTGTTGGTTTGGCGGGCATAAGCAAATCATTTATAACTGATACATCTCCGTCGACAAATTTGCTTATTTTCAATTGCTTATATTTTGAGAAACGTTTCTTTAGGACCTTCTTTTCCAACTTTAGGCTGATTTTGATCTCGAACTCGTCGCCAATTTGTTGCAATCTAGCCCACAACAAAAAACAAAATGGCCGAACTTATTTTGATTTGATTTGATTTTTTTTCTTCAATGTGTTGTTATGCTAATTACATAAATGCGCGCATAATAAGCGGAAGTAAATTCTACTTGTGAGCAGAAGTAATATTTTACAACTGTAGTTGAAGATTATAAACCATGTCGAACTTCTGTTCTTTATCATCCGACGGGAGGGTCTCGTTAAAAGGGGTGAGTTTACTGGAGGAGCCTCCTTTTACTAGATTTCGTAACTGTCCGCTATATGCACTGCATATTAACAGTTACCTTTGGTGACAGAAGTTTTGTTATAGCAGGACCGAAAATTTGGAACTCATTACCACAAGAACTTAAAAACTCACAAACTGTTGACATTTTTAAGTGTACATTAAAAACACATCTTTTTGATAATTAACACGGGATCCATTTGCATATTTATGCATAGATATTTATAGGCTTTTCTTAAGTATAATGTGGTTAATTGAAAAATTAAACGAGACTTACCTAAGTCGAAGTTGGATTGAGATTCTACCGTAGCATTTGCAGGAATG